TCCGAGGACTAAAACGGCGACTAACTCTTTTCGGCCGTCTCTGGTGATATTCACGGACAATTTCGGCCGTGCAGAGGTTATTAATAGTTCACGAGAAAGCGTCATGTTGCTTTCGAGAAAATGTAACGGAAGACTTTCTCAGGTAGCTAAGAACAACAATTGTTGCGTAATTCGCGAAATGTTATTATTAAAGACTATTTCTAATATAGGAATTTCTGCTATCTCACATTAACGATGTCTCGAAAGTTCAGTGAATTTTTCGCAGAAAGAATAACTTATCAGGAAAAACGCTCCCGCCGTTCGATGAGCCGCTCCGCGACGAAAACAAGCTTAAGCAATGGCATTGTCGAACGGTGCAAACTCGGTAACTAATCCTACAATTTTTTGTTTATAGCATAGTTTATACGGATTATTCCCATAAAATTATACNAATAACTTATCAGGAAAAACGCTCCCGCCGTTCGATGAGCCGCTCCGCGACGAAAACAAGCTTAAGCAATGGCATTGTCGAACGGTGCAAACTCGGTAACTAATCCTACAATTTTTTGTTTATAGCATAGTTTATACGGATTATTCCCATAAAATTATACTTGTTTTGGAAATGTTAAGTCAAATTAGTCTAGAATCGATTAATTTTATGGAAGAAAACCTTTCAATCAGCCACGCCGGGCTATGCTTAGCCCATGTATTTAAGTGACTCGTACAACACGGAATTCATATAACATGGAACGTATCTACCGTGTTATAGGGGGGTCTACTGTATTCTGAAGTAGAAAAAGTAGCATTAACATTTGTTACATAGAAATTATACAAATAAATAACACTACAATAAATTTATACTATGTATAAAACATTTTTATATTTTGCATTTCTATGCATTTTACGTAAATATGCATATTTTAGAAAGTTATATTAATCAATAATAAACAATAATTTGTGTTATCTTAAAAGTGTTACCATCCTGATATGTGCCAGCTTATTATTTGCGGTCGTTATTTCATTTTGCAGATACTATTTTTATACATTCAAAAAACTATTCTTAGTATTTTAAAATATTTCAGTAAAAAATATATTTTATCCGTAATTATATTCTGTAATTTCTACACAACCAAGTGTAGCCTACAACAGAATATCAAACGGTTCTAGGAACACTTTTACTTTCGTACAATTTTTATCGATATAATTATTAACATAATTATGTTTAATAATAGTAATAACGATAGATATATTTACCTTCGAAGATTAAGAGTAAAAATTTTCAACAAAGTAACAAAAATAGTGAAATTCCAAAATTTTCTTTCCTGGCAAACTGTTGTGATGCGGTCGCTCGACCAGGCTCGACTACGGATGACGTATATCCAGAATCTGGAAGGAAGTGGCTAAACCGGCTGTATGAGATAACCTTCAGCTTGTTTCGTCCTCCATTTTTCTCCTGCTGTGGTATGGTTTTATTGGTATGTCAACGCGACACATGGGCGTTGTCTCCCGCAAGATCTTTTATCAGAAACTTGCCCATATTTAAGTGTTACAAACGTGAAGAAAACCCAGAAAACTTCATGTGGCCAGCCAGTTGGCGAAGCGCGAATTCACCACCGACTACAAGTGTTCGTCGTGCGTTCGCGCATCGCTCGAACGGGATACCACGTGGAGTTCTCCGGGTTTTTTCCACGTCTGTAACACCTGAATAGGGACCAGTTACCCTTAATGAAAGACCTCCCGAAAGGCATTCTCCCGCGCGTATCATCAAACCTAACAAATATAACCAACCATTTGCCTTTCTGTCTTTGAGTAAATGCGGCTATAGATGGAAAACTCGGCAGCAATTATTTATTTCGCTTTTAACCTTTAAAGTTTTTATAATTTTCAAAAATTTAAATATAGTTTTAATCGTTCTCTGAAAAATTTATAATGATTTCCCGTATAAACGAGAAAAAGTAAACACGGAAAAATTTAATAATTGATATTATCTTTTTGTGTGTATTTCTTGAAAATAAGAATTGCCTGCTTATTCTTAAAAGATAAATTAATTGTGTTTTTGAGGAAAGTATAGTATATTATTTGATTTCTGTTAAGATATCGGACTTATATTTTTCGTAATAAATAAATAAAATATTTTATCTTTTGTAAGGAACAATGTCAGAGCCTTATTTTTAGTTACTTTTATTTTCGCTCTTATTCTATTTTTGTTTGGGGCTTATGTTTTGTTAGGACGAAGGTTTCCTCACCATTCACCTTAGAAACTTAAAAATAGAAGAGAAACCAACACACGGAGAGAAAAGCGCCGTACTTAAAAATCGCGCACACTTGCGCTCCCGAGCAGAGAAAAGTAAGTCCGCACCGAGAAAAGGGGGGAGACCCCACTAGCATCACTTAGGAAACTTGCTAAACCTTAAAAGAATAAAACATCCCGAAAATTGTCCAAAAGAATAATGTAAAAGGTTGGAAAGTATAGTCAAAAAAATAATATAGTACTTTACACTTTTATTCACATAAATGAACTAAAAGTTTGATTTGATGCCAATTTCGGACGGAGTTAAATCGAAGTCGAGGATAGCGAATATTTTATTTTTGTTTACATGTAGATTTAATTAATTAAATAAGGCCAATAGAAAGTCTTTACGGGAAGCACCCTCTTGTCGAATGGCTGAAGTATTATGTTATTCTACTTTATCTTGTAATTAGAAATACTTTATGTTAGCTGTAACATTGATAAAATATAATTTAGTTTAATTTAATTGAAAAAGTTTATTTTTTAATTATCACAACATTATTAACTTAGATTAGGTGAGAAACGTTTATTTATAAAGTACTAAAACAAACTTGTTTGCTGATAATTTATAAAAGTAAATCTAACAAAATAGATTAAACGATAAAATTCAGTCTCCCAACAATAAAAAACTCATTAGCCATAGATTTAACGATAAAATAATCAAAGTATCACCAGTTATAATTTGATAAAAAAGAAATATCTATATATATATAAATGGACGTGTGTGTCTCTATATTTCACTTTTCAGCCAAAACTACACATCGCACATGAATGGTGTTTGTATGTGGTAGTAGCCCCAAGTCTCCATTCGTGCACTATGGTGGTTGCGTCTCGACAGCTATAAGGGTGCAGGAGATATGGGCTTGAAAGTGATCGAAAGTGGAAGATTTTCTATTTCAATTTTAAAAATTTTCGAATTAAAATTTGTATTCGAATTTAAATTCGAATTTGATCGATTATAGAACGATTGTAAACGTTCCAGAAAATTGATCAAATTGAAAATAGTTCGTTTGACTGGACGTAAAAATTCTGTAATTAGTCTAGAAACGGGGGATCTAATTCTTGCATTCTGTGAAAACGGGTAAGATTGGCTATAATGTAATTATCTTAATCTTCACTATCGTTATTTTTTGCCTACAAATAAAAACCTAGCGAACCGGGTCCTTGCAGCTAGTAATTAATAAAAATTATGTATTTAATATATTATATATATACATTTAAGCCATTACAGGAACTTTTTTAAACAAAAATGTATATATATTACACTGCACTGGTTACAAATACACTGGTAGAAAATACACTGGTTAAAAATACACCAGTGCGATTTCACACCAACGCAACACACACAAACGTACAGTACACAGAACACAGCAAACATACCAAAATAATTAACATATTTCACACACTACAAATTAATAGATACATACCATGATGTAACTTACTCTATATATCTAGTGTAAGTTACATCTTNAGACCCGTGCGATTTCACACCAACGCAACACACACAAACGTACAGTACACAGAACACAGCAAACATACCAAAATAATTAACATATTTCACACACTACAAATTAATAGATACATACCATGATGTAACTTACTCTATATATCTAGTGTAAGTTACATCTTGCTGTATATCTATTGTTATGATAACAATGTCTATAGACCAAAATAATTATAAAAACCGATGGAGTCAGAAATTTTCCTTTTGTTTCCTTCTTAAATAAATGTAAAATACGAAAAAATTATATTTTTCTTTCTCTTCTGACTTTTTGGATAAATATATAACTTCAATTTTTAAAACATTAAGCCAATAGTGACTATAAGATTTTTTTTTTCAAAAAAAGAGTTTCAAAAAGTATAAAGAAGAAAGAAGATAATTTGCAGAGAAAAAACTTTATTTACGTTACGAACAAGCTTCCCAAATGCATTTCGCCAAAGGCCTCTTCAGTGGTGCTTACAGCACACAGTTTACGTTCTGACAGTCAACTCATTAAAGAGCCACTTATATGGTTAACAAAAAATTCCCAGCATTCCGCTGTTAACATTCCGGTATTTAAATTTACATTATTGTTCTGCATAATTATAGCAAAGTGTTCTTTTACCTTTCGCTTTACATTGATTTCTTTTTTACAAATTATTTTTAATTTATTAATATTACAGTGGTACCTCAGGATACGAACGCCCCAGCATACGAAATTTTCAGGATACGACATGAAATTCGAACATATTTTTGCTCCACGATACGAACAAAAACTCACCATACGACGTTACATTAGTTCGCATTTTTCATTTGTTTTTCTTACTACAGTTATTTTTTTNAAATCAAATAGTGATTATGGATTTATACGAATTAGAGAATAAGAAACAAGAAATAATATCTGAAGGAAGTTTTAAAAAATTGGAAAAAGACCCGTTTAATGAAATACAAAGAACATTAACAAGAAAATTGAAGAAATTTGTGAAAGAAGGTCATATCCAGGCGAGTCAAAGTAAAGAAATACTTTCAAAGGAAAACGTAAGAATTCCTAAATTAACTGTCAGAATTAAAACACATAAACAAAATAAATGTAGACCAATCATAGACTTTAGATTCACATTATTATATAATTTAGAAATCTTTATTAAAAAGATATTACAGGATATACAAATTTCGAAATATGCAGTTAAAAATGCTGATGATTTAATTACAAAATTGCAAAAAGGTGTAATCTTGTCTAATTATAAATTGATGAGTTTGGATATAACATCTATGTACCCTTCTATTACTAAAGATATGATTTTGAGCAGTTTACGTAAGTATGGTGTTCCTGATTATTTAAAGGATTTAATTACTTTCACATTAGATAATAATTATTTTACAGTGAAGGAAAAGAACTTTTATCGACAAACAGAAGGTATTTCGATGGGCTCCGTAATAGGACCGAAATTAGCAGAAATTTATATGCTGGATGTGGACATGATTCTTTCAACATTAAATGGAGTTATGTTTTTTGCAAGGTACGTCGATGATATTTTAATAGTGTACGATAGTACACTAACAACAAACTTACAAATTTTGGAACAAGCTAATAAAATTAATTTGAATATTAAATTTACTCAAGAACATGAATTAAATAATCAATTAAGTTATTTAGATATAACAATTAAAAGATTTGAAGACCATTTGGAATACTGTAAATTTGAAAAACCGTGTAATACGAGAAAAGTAATTAATTATAAATCATACCGTCATTTAAATCAAAAATATAATATATATATCTGATGAAAATAACAAAAATTTTTTTCTAGAACAACAAATATAGATAAAAGAGAGAAAGTCATTGAAGATACACATAAGAAATATATTCTAAATGGATACCCAAAAAGATTACTAAGTTATTGGTACCATATAAAAAATATAATAAGTTTTTTTAATAAAAAATTAATTAGATAGGCACCATCCTTAAATAACAGGTTATCAAATACAGTACGATGATTATAAGAAGTACCAAAAAAGATTTATTAGAAGAAGAAGGTGTTGTTTATGGGATAGAATGCGCGTGTAACTACCCTAGTTTTCACGTGAAACAAAACGAAGATTAAAGATTCGACTGTCGTAAGGTTAAAAATTAGTAATTCTCCTGTCTTCCAACATTGTAATAGTAATAATTGTCAAATTAATATTAATAAGTTAAAAATAATTTGTAAAGAAAAAAACAATGTAAAGCGAAAAGTAAAAGAACACTTCGCTATAATTATGCAGAACAATAATGTAAATTTAAATACCGGAATGTTAACAGCGGAATGCTGGGAATTTTTTGTTGACCATATAAGTGGCTCTCTAACGAGTTGATGTTTAAAACGTAAATCGTATACTGTAAGCCCCACTGAAGAGGCCTTTGACAAAATGCATTTGAAAAGCTTGTTCGTAACGTAAATAAAAGTTTTTTTTTTCCTGCAAATCATCTTCTATCTTTCTTATACCTTTTTAAACTCTTTCTTTGAAAAAAATCTTATAGTCACTATTGGCTTAATGTTTTAAGAATTGAAGTTATATATTATCCAAAAAGTCAGAAGAGAAAGAAAAATATATTTAATTTTTTCGTATTTTACATTTATGTAAGAAGGAAACAAAAGAAAAATTTCTGATTCAATCGGTTTTTATAAATATTTTGGTCTATAGATATTGTTATCATAACAATAGATATACACCAAGATGTAACTTACACTAGATATATAGAGTAAGTTACATCATGGTATGTATCTATTAATTTGTAGTGTGTGAAATATGTTAATTATTTTGGTATGTGTGCTGGGTTCTGCGTACGTTTGTGTGTGTTGCGTTGGTGGGAAATCGCACGCGACTTTAAACTGATGTATTTTTAACCAGTGTATTTTCTGCAGTGTAATATATATGCACTTTTGTTTAAAAAAAGTTCCTGTAATGGCCTTAAATGAAGACATATAATATATTAAATACATAATTTTTATTAATTATATTTCATTTTTATCAAAATATAACTGGTGATACTTTGATTATTTTATCGTTAAATCTATGGCTAATGAGTTTTTTATTGTTGGGAGACTGAATTTTATCGTTTAATCTATTTTTATCAAAATATAACTGGTGATACTTTGATTATTTTATCGTTAAATCTATGACTAATGAGATTTTTATTGTTGGGAGATTGAATTTTATCGTTTAACATATTCTGTTAGATTTACTTTTATAAATTATCAGCAAACAAGTTTGTTTTAGTACCTTATAAATAAACGTTTATCACCTAATCTAAGAAATTTAACATTAACATTAAACTAAAGAATTTCTGTAGTAAAATGGATGAAATTTATAAATGTTTTCCAACTGAATTTCCAACCAGTAGATCGCGATCGTCTAAGAAATTAACGCGTGTTTTTAAATGTTAATGTGTTTTAAAAAGTTAATAATGTTGTGATAATTAAAAAATAATGTTTTTCAATTTGATAAAATATAATTTAGTTTAATTTATTTTACAGCTAACATAAAGTATTTCTAATTGCGAGATAAAGCAGAATAACATAATACATGAGCCATTCGACAAGAGGGTACTTCCCGAAAAGACTTTCTATTGGCCTTATTTAATTAATTAAATCTACATGTAAACAAAAATAAAATATTCGCTATCCTCGACTTCGATTTAACTCCGTCCGAAATTGGCATCAAATCAAACTTTTAGTTCATTTATGTGAATAAAAGTGTAAAGTACTATATTATTTTTTTGACTATACTTTCCAACCTTTTACATTATTCTTTTGGACAATTTTCGGGATGTTTTATTCTTTTAAGGTTTAGCAAGTTTCCTAAGTGATGCTAGTGGGGTCTCCCCCCCTTTTCTCGGTGCGGACTTACTTTTCTCTGCTCGGGAGCGCAAGTGTGCGCGATTTTTAAGTACGGCGCTTTTCTCTCCGTGTGTTGGTTTCTCTTCTATTTTTAAGTTTCTAAGGTGAATGGTGAGGAAACCTTCGTCCTAACAAAACATAAGCCCCAAACAAAAATAGAATAACAGCAAAAATAAAAGTAACTAAAAATAACGGCGGACTTGGTTCCTTACAAAAGGTAAAATATTTTACTTATTTATTACGAAAAATATAAGTCCGATATCTTGACAAAAATCAAATAATATACTATACTTTCCTCAAAAAACACAATTAATTTATCTTTTAAGAATAAGCAAGCAATTCTTATTTTCAAGAAATACACACAAAAAGATAATATCAATTATTAAATTTTTCCGTGTTTACTTTTTCTCGTTTATACGGGAAATCATTATAAATTTTTCAGAGAACGATTAGAACTATTTTTAAATTTTTAAAAATTATGAAAACTTTAAAGGTTAAAAGCGAAATAAATAATTGCTGCCGAGTTTTCCATCTATAGCCGCATTTACTCAAAGACAGAAAGGCAAATGGTTGGTTATATTTGTTAGGTTTGATGATACGCGCGGGAGAATGCCTTTCGGGAGGTCTTTCATTAAGGGTAACTGGTCCCTATTCAGGTGTTACAGACGTGGAAAAAACCCGGAGAACTCCACGTGGTATCCCGTTCGAGCGATGCGCGAACGCACGACGAACACTTGTAGTCGGTGGTGAATTCGCGCTTCGCCAACTGGCTGGCCACATGAAGTTTTCTGGGTTTTCTTCACGTTTGTAACACTTAAATATGGGCAAGTTTCTGATAAAAGATCTTGCGGGAGACAACGCCCATGTGTCGCGTTGACATACCAATAAAACCATACCACAGCAGGAGAAAAATGGAGGACGAAACAAGCTGAAGGTTACTTGATACAGCCGGTATAGCGACTTACTGTCAGATTCTGAATATACGTCATCCGTAGTCGAGCCTGGTCGAGCGACCGCATCACAACAGTTTGCCAGGAAAGAAAATTTTGGAATTTCACTATTTTTGTTACTTTGTTGAAAATTTTTACTCTTAATCTTCGAAGGTAAATATATCTATCGTTATTACTATTATTAAACATAATTATGTTAATAATTATATCGATAAAAATTGTACGAAAGTAAAAGTGTTCCTAGAACCGTTTGATATTCTGTTGTAGGCTACACTTGGTTGTGTAGAAATTACAGAATATAATTACGGATAAAATATATTTTTTACTGAAATATTTTAAAATACTAAGAATAGTTTTTTGAATGTATAAAAATAGTATCTGCAAAATGAAATGAGGACCACAAATAATAAACTGGCTCATATCAAAACGGTAACACTTTTAAGATAACAAAAATTATTGTTTATTATTGATTAATACAACTTTCTAAAATATGCATATTTACGTAAAATGCATAGAAATGCAAAATATAAAAATGTTCTATACATAGTATAAATTTATTGTAGTGTTATTTATTTGTATAATAATTTCTATGTAAGAAATGTTAATACTACTTTTTCTACTTCAGAATACAGTAGACCCTCCTATAACACGGTAGATATGTTCCATGTTATATGAATTCCGTGTTGTACGAGTCACTTAAATACATGAGCTAAGCATAGCCCAACACGGCTGTCTGAAAGGTTTTCTTCCATAAAATTAATCGATTCTAGACTAATTTGACTCAACATCTCCAAAACACGTGTAATTTTTTGGTTATAATCCATATAAATTATGCTATAAACAAAAAATTGTAGGATTACTTTCCGAGTGCGCACCGTTCGACGATGCCATTGCTTAAGCTTGTTTTCGTCGCGGAGCGGCTCATCGAACGGCGGGAGCGTGTTTCCTGATAAGTTATTCTTTCTGTGAAAAATTCGCTGAATTTTGGAGACATCATTGATATAAATATAATTTTTATGGCCGTTAAATAATAAATGATTTTTAGTAAGTCCGCTGCTCGTTCAAACTCAACGGTTTGTGCAATGTCCACTATTGGTTCAGATTTGATCAATCCTGTCGAGACACGAGTCGGCGTTGATAATCTGTCTCATTCTTTTACGGTGTTATACGAGCCTCTTTTACAGTGTTATACGAACACAATCGCAATTTTTCCTCCGTGTTATACAAATCCGTTTTATATGAGCCGGTGTTATAGAGGTCTACTGTATTATATCTTGATTAGATTTATTTGGGAACATTAAAAATAAGTAGCTAAATTTTATTATCACCATTATTTTTATTTTTAGGTTCCAGGGCGAAATACGCTTAAGCGTAAGTGTACGTGAGTGGCCATAAGCTTATGCAATGTTGCAGTTAGAAATTTAAGTTATTCGTTACTTTAATTGTTTATGTTACTGTTTCTCTCATAATTTATAAAAGGTAAGATTATAGTAGTAGAAATTTTACTTTAAACGGCTCTGATTAAAAAATGACGCCATTTCATTCGCAAAATTTTATTTACTTTATATCACGAAGAAACGGCTAAGGTGTCAACCTAACGTTTTGGGGGACTCGAGCTCGAAATCTGGCGAGCAATTTCAGGAATTATTCATGGGTAGTCTGCCAGGCTCCGTCTTTCTCTACCCGGTCGGCCCATTGTGGGTTTGATGGAGCATTACAATGGGTATGGGAAAAAAGCACTTTTAGTACTTACAGAACAGAAAAAGGCATAAAAAAAGTAAAAAATCAGAAGCTATTTCATTGTAAAACTTAGTTCAGTGTGATACAGTAACAGGTGTTCAAACCGGCATTCTTTCCTGCAAGCTCATTACAAATCCGGCAATGCCCACAATAAGACGGCCGGGAGGTGAGTAATAGAGTCCACCAACTCCAAAATTCTTAAGATTTTTTTATTCGTCCATATTCTATCTCGGGTTCACCAGAGCGAGAAGCTTCCACTTTAAACGTTCGGCCATGTTAAAAATATTAAGGAGTAGCCTACATACATGAATGGTAACTTAAGATATGAAAATGATGGGTCTTGCTGGATTCAAGTGGTGCAACGTCCCAGAGCAGCATTTGAAAAAATGAATAATACATCAAATATAATTAAATAAGATTTATAGAAGCTGAAATTCTTGCAGCATTGCAAACGAATCATGTTTTCATAAGTAAAATTAATGGAAATATAAAGGAGGATTAATATAATTTATTTCCGTATAAGTTCAAATCAGAATTAGTCGTGCATCATATATAGGTTATGACAATGCTACAAATATTTTTTTTATACAGTATTTATTACCATAAAATTATATATANCCATATTTTCGCGTAAAAACTTCCTTTTTAAAATTAAGATTATACTTTATAACAGATAGTAATTAATTTATAATATAAATAAAGTCACTGCAAGCTTCTAAAAGTTCAATTCACAGTAAAAAAAATGGGGGATGTTCTTATCTAATAACATCCTATTCTGTGTTCTACTTAACTCGAAACATAATTTTTCAACTTGATTGTTTATTATAATTATATTTACCATTAAAATTGTGGTTATAAACTCAGCAGAGGGTATGCAATTTTTATTACGACCCCGTTCTTTGCCATTTAAAATTGGTATAAGAAGTGAGCAATTGTGCTTAAAAAATAAAGGTGTTGGTTCGGTTATTTGCAATAAAAGTAATTATTCTTTAAATTTATATGGGTTGTTTGTAATATAATGTAGTTAAATCTATGAAAAGTACCATTTTAAAAACTAAAAGAAAATCTACAGAAGCCAGAAGAAATAATAATAATGAGCCATACAATAGAGTAGAAAATCATTCAACTGTAGTAAATTTAAAAATCATTACTCAAAAATTTCTTTTATTTTTTCGTATAAATCAACTTAAATTACGTTTCGATTTATTTAAAATTCTTATAAAAAATACCTTCGATACATGACTGATCATGTAAAGAATTTTATCTGTAATTTACTTATAAATTTACATTTTATGCTCATATTATCCAGTCAAATCTCCGTAAATGGCCACCTCTAAACAATAATAACCTCCGAACAATGGCCAATTATATTCCCGTCAGTGTCAGCCCTTCAGAGGTTTCTTTGTATTCCAAAATATTTAATGTAATAAAATAAATTTCTTATTTAATAAATTTTTAAACATTTGTTTTTAAAGTTAGGAACACGGATTAAAGGTATTTAAATTCATAAAAGTGAAATAAATTATTATATAAACGTGTCCATTATTAAGATCTTCCTCGTATTCTCATGCCAACCCTTTTATATAGGCTAATTAAATACACGTTTAATATATTATAACATATTATTATTTATTTATGCATTAAACAATAGATTCCCGGTGACGAATTATCTTTTCTTTTCACAGGTATACTTAAGCACAAGGAGAGGATGCTGGATAATACACAGAGTTGGAACCAATGGATTACCTTTCGATTCTCTGTACTTATGTCGTTTCTGGAATCTACTTTACCATATTGTTCCATTTCAAATCAGCAATTCTGTGATAGAATACGTGATAAATAATCGCTTCGATCACGATTTATATCAATTAAAACCCAAACACCGGATACTTTCCCAACATCCCATGGTAAACGATGCTCTACCCAATCGTATATTAAGTGGAACCGTGGTGATTAAAGGGCCAATTAAACGCTTCGTTAGAAACGGGGTCATCTTCGAAGGGGATGATTTCGTCACGGAAGTAGACGAAGTCGTTCTAGCTACCGGCTACGTCATCAAATTCCCATTTCTTTCCGAAGATATCGTNTTAATTTCGTATCGTGAGGTACCACTGTATTCTTGTTTTATTGATTTTTTATTGTTTTTATGATCTTAAAAATCATACTAAAGTTCTGAACTTATCCTGTATTTAGGACAGTGTCACAGATGATTAATTATATTAGAGATTGATAGGCTAGTCTATAGGAAATTACATATAGCAAGTCTGGAAATCTGTTATAGTATAGAGATTAAAATTATTTTTTAACATTTATATAACTTAATATTTTACAACGAATGTTTTTTTTGTAATTTTTTTTCAGGTATACTTAAGCACAAGGAGAGGATGCTGGATAATACACAGAGTTGGATCTAATGGATTACCCTTCGATTCTCTGTACTTATGTCGCTTCTGGAATCTACTTTACCATATTGTTCCATTTCAAATAAATAATTCTATAATAGAACGAATGATAAATAATCGCTTCGATCACGATTTATATCAAATAAAACCCAAACACCGGATACTTTCCCAACATCCCATGGTAAACGATGCTCTACCCAATCGTATATTGAGTGGAACCGTGGTGATTAAGGGGCCAATTAAACGCTTCGTTAGAAACGGGGTTATCTTCGAAGGGGATGATTTCGTCACGGAAGTAGACGAAGTCGTTCTAGCTACCGGCTACGTCATCAAATTCCCATTTCTTTCCGAAGATATCGTATCCGTTAAGGATAATAAAGTAGAGTTGTATAAATACGTGATACCACCCCAGCTTAAACACAGGACACTAGGAGTGATCGGATTGATACAGATCGTCGGGGGTCTGTTTCCGATTTCGGAGATCCAAGCCAGATGGTTTGTTAAAGCTATAAAAGACGAGGTAGATCTACCTTCTACGCAAGGAATGTACGACGAAATCAAACGAAATTCCGAAATTATGAGGAAACAATACTTCGATGGACCGCGACACACCATACAAGTAGATTACGTGGATTACTTGGACGATTTGTCTTCCATGATGGGAGCCAAACCGAATATGTTGAATATGTTTTTCACGGATTTCCCACTATTTTGGGCATGTTTTATGGGACCGAATCTTCCGTATCAGTATCGTTTGCGAGGGCCACACTCGTGGGAAAATGCGCGACATACTATACTTCGTTATAGAGAGAGGGTAGATGCTGCATTCAAGACACGTTATTTCCCTCCAGAAACTACAATACAGAAAGGTATACTGAGATATATTTTTGGGTCTTTCATGACTTTTATCTTCGCTCTTTTGTTTGTTACTGTAACATTTTAACTAAGAGATATCGAAGCATTGTTTGGAAAAAATCAGTTTAAATTGCAAATTTAGGACGAAACAATTAATTGAAATTGTTCTGCAACATAATGTATTGTATTTTAGTATATACTTTTATATAAATCGTTACAATTGTTTAAAATTTAAGCTCATTTTCACGGCAGAAAATGAACTAAAATATAAAAACATGTATTTTTTTAACCTCGACATAAATAATAAAATTATCATGTTTTATTTCTATACAAACAGTTGAATTTATTATTTATTAAAAGGAGCATTATCTTATATCACACTTCTAAAAAAAATCTAGCAGCGAGTTGTATAACTTACCCGGCAAAAGTTAAAATTGTGTGTGGCGTCATCTGTTGTGAAATTTTATTAAAAACAACTTGTTATATTTTTAATTGTTATAAAATGGCATAATGTTTAATTTTGAGGGTAGAGATGAGTTTTATAAAAAATTTATAAATGTTATAAATGCTAATAACGAGTAAAATCTTTATTAAGTTCGACTCCTCTCGAGATATTCTCATTTATATCTCCCCACCTACTCGACCTTTAACCACCAAAATCTAATAGCAGCAATGCCTCTAATACATAATCGTCCCCATAGAATTTCATAAATTTTCGACAAAGGGCACAGGAGTTATTTAACTTCAGATTGGGTGAAGAAAATCGTGTCTCCCTCACTCACACACACACACGTTAATATTAATTAATACATACAGGAAAAAGCCCAAATTCTTTTGCATTTGAGAATGATTCGACGTCTCCTGAGTCCAAAAATACAAATATATTGGGGGAGTGATCATGTTTTTTGAACGATCGCCATACTTTTCCTCTGTCATATATCACCGACGTAAAAGTAATATGCTTTATAAATTGATTTATTTATAATATTGTGTGGCTTATTGAATGAAATTTGAACTGAATAGGCCAGTACAATGCATATTGTGCTGTTATGTGTCTCCCGAACAAATACTGTATGAAGGTCTTGGTCGTGCTGCCATATATCAGTTTTTACTTACGTAATAATTTCTATTATTTGGTATTGATATCTTCATTGTAAACAGGAGAAAAGCTTAAGAACTTCTATTGTAAGAAAAGGAAATTTGTCATTGCTCTTCCACTTTCAATACGGAGTTTACGTGTTTTTCTATCCCCCTACAAAGTCAAATGTAATAATAAACATTACTAGTTCTGTTATGGCTTGTAAAGTTAAATCTCAAAGAAACCAACATTATAACAATGATAATGGTAGTTTTAGAAGTCGATATTATAATATTAGCACAATATTTTAATACTCTATTAACTTATTCTATCATCGATCCACCGTTACACATTTGATTTACGCAATAGATTTAATATATTAAGTGCAAACTGGATCAGATTTACTATGTTAATTTTTTTATTATTAGCTTGGTTATGCATGGCGGAGTCAAGTATTTATATATTATATATGTTAATAAAGATTATGTATGTAATTGGGACGGCTGGAAGAACGAGACGGTTAAGGTTTCCGCCTATCGCTGTGGGGGATCCGAAATCGAGTACAAGCGAGCAAGCCATATATTTTTAATGGAAGATAGAGCTAATGACGAGTAAAATCTCCATTAAATCCGATCTCACTCGAGATATTCTTATTTGCATGAGCCCCCTCTCTATCTCACTAATCTCTCCACCTTTAATCACTAAAATTGAACAGAATAAATCCCCATAATATACAAATCAACCTGAAAAATTTCAGAAATTTTCGACAAAAGACACAGGAGCTATTAAGGTTTAAAGTGGGTGAACAAAGTCGTGCCTCTACACTAACCTCTATACATACAGAAAGAGTTCCGACTTTTCTTTTTACATTTCTCGAAGTTCCCTCAATCCAAACATATAAAAATCTTGTCCCAGACCCCCATACTTTCCCTCTCATATACATAACAGCCGGCAAAGTAAATGATGTTTTTATGACTTACTGCGTAACCTACTTTATCTTATGTAACTTATAAATATGTGAGACAAACAATAAATAATATAGTCTATGTCTATAATTATTTTAAAAAAAATTGTAAATATAATTCTTATTTAAAACCTTGTAAAAATTAAGGAAAAATTTATAAAATAATTTACATAATAAATTAATTAATTAATGTCCATACAAGTAAACAAAACTATACATTTAACGATAATTACAGTGTTTTTTTATGACTAAAATATCCATAATTTAAATGATACGTACGATGGATAATTAATTAATCAACTGCCGTTTTTATTATGGAACGATTATATAAAAGAAGAAAAATGCCTGACACCGTTCGGTGTGACGTAATTCCATCGTATTATTTAATAAAGTGGAAGTCTATAACGCATGCGTGCTATCTGTATATAAAGTATTTGACCTGTATGCAGAAGATACAACATTCAGTTTAGCTTCCTGGAGCCATGAAGAACGGACGAAAGAAGGTTGCTATTATAGGAGCGGGTGCAAGTGGACTCACCTCAATCAAAGCTTGCAAAGAAGAGGGATTCGATATCGTTTGTTACGAAAAAACTAACGATATAGGAGGCCTCTGGAGGTATCGAGACGAAGATGTAGAAGGTTTAGCATCCGTGGCACGCTCCACTATTATTAACAGTAGCAAAGAGATCACGGCTTTCAGCGACTTTCCTCCACCCAAGCATTTTCCCAATTACATGCACAACTCCATGATGATCAAGTACTTGGAGCTGTACGCTNCATGATGAGGAATAAAAGCTCTGGTAGTGCCCCAGAGTTTAAATAAAGAAAAGATGATATTTGGAATGCATTACATCTACATGAATAGTTTTGATTTATGCTATTATTCTTTAAAAATTTATACCTATTACATTGTGAATTAAAGTAGAAGGAAGATATGCAATTTATTTATATCCTCCTTCTATGAAAAAGTAGTCCAGTAGTCCTTAAATAGGAACCAGAGTCACGTATTATTAAAGATAAGTAATCAGGAAACGTGTTGTGAATATTAAGACACAGGAAAATACGAGAAACGTTAATCATTTCCTAATCTTAAAATATGTGTTAAGTTACTAAGTTTATGGAGAAATATTAAGTAAAAGATTTTAACTATAATATTACAGTATAAAGGTTAATTGTAATTAACAGAGAATGTCATCTATGTAAGTAATTATGTTTCTTTTAAGGTGATTCTTAGTACTTACGACCCGCTATTTTGTCTAAAAGGCTCTAAGAGAATCATTAAATTTATGATAGGCAGTTTTAAAGAGCAGAAGGAAAATTGGATTGATGGAATAAGGCAACACAACATTTGGGCGATTTACCATGAGGGAAATTACTCACTGCGGGAGAACTTTTATGGAAAAGTGGCCTCTATTTATATAGATGCTGGACACGTCAACTAGGCTGTTGGTCGTCTTTGCTTTTCAAAGAAAGTAAAAATTAAGGAAGCAAAGTCATCTTACTAATTTAACGTATTTATTGTAATTAACTTAATTGAAATCCTTATTATATATTTTAACACATGCCACCTGTTCATTTGATTGTTCAGTTTTGGGTTTTTTTCCTGTTTTTTTTTTTAATTAATCTGTATCATTTATTAATTCTGGAAATATTTATGTATCTGTTGAAACTGTTAAACAATGGTGGTTAGTCGCATGTTCCCTCCCTTCTAATGGGCTAGCTCGTGACGTTTTCGATCATGTATAATCATCTCTAGTTAACATAGCGAAAGATGCTTCATTGGATTGATACCAAGACTTCTAGCTAGCCATTCTGTAGTTTTATTAGTTGATTGTAGTGTCGAGCAAATTGCATTATGCTATTGTTAACATGACCGGTGGATAGATGCATTATCCTGTTGGAAGACCCTGAGTTACATTGCCAATAGATAATACTATTCTCAAGCTCATTTTGATAGCTTTGTGCATTCGTTCCTCCAGCCATAAAGCAATAACTGACGTTCCATTGAATCCAAAGCAGCACCACGCTATTACTGATCACCACCTCGTTGCATGCTGAAAATTGGTATTTTTTTTTTTTGTTCTTAAAGTATACCGGTATGACAATTATTCACCAGGACTTTCTAGATTGATATATTTCATACTATAAAGTACTTGAAACTATTCATCTGTCCGGTACTTGTGTTTCTGCCATTGTTGTCTATCTTCTCTCGCAAACGCCTGCGGCTATCTATGCTCTTAAAGACAATATTTTCAATTTGTTATTGTATTTTACTATATATTTTCTACACAGCAAAGTGTCCGATGTGTCATTCACCTCTCCCAAAAGTGTTTCAAGTGGCATGTGCTAACTGTTACTGTAACTCTTATGAGATTATGCAAATTAGTTTGTTCTACATGTATTATTTGCTCCTATTTTTGAAACAGTTCCTTGTGAAGGTTCTTCATTTGCTTAACATTTTTTCATCTTATATTATTTAATTTTATGCATGTGCAACTCTCTATAAGATTTTGACAAGCATTGTACAATGTCAATGAGTATGTAACGACCTCTAAAAAGTGAAAGACAACCTAAACAATGCAAAATGAAAAAAATCCATAGAATGACCTACTTGTTAGATTTTATGTGTTGACAGGTATGGAAAAAAAAAATTAGATTAAGAAGAATGGAAACAAGTATTACCTTGTTTCTTTTTATGTACCTGCAATTTCCTAGAGTTCATTAACACTTTTTTTAAGAGGAATATCGACAAATTTTATTGATTTATGGAGCCAGGTATTGATGAGTTCGTTGACATCTAAATTTCCTCTTACTTCTCTATACATCATTATTTTTTTTATACATAATTATTGTCATTGAAACACTTTCGATTCATGATTGATGAATCAATTTTTCAATTAATAAAAGTGATATATTTGAAGATTTTCAATAAAAAGATATGTTTTTTTCTTACATTCGATACTGATGATACTTTTCATCATCAATTACTTTTATGTATTTTTTACAATAGAAATTTCCCATTTAACTTCATTGATGTTAAGTGGAAATTTATTGAAGAAGTTTATGGAATTTAAATAGAAGACGTTCGCTTAAGGCGAAGGAAAAAAGTTTATGGAATTTTAGGTGAAAGTTCGTGTAAATGGAACTATACAGAAGTCATACTGTAAAACACTTAAGCGATCTGCCAAAACGGGTGTCTCCAAGAGGATTTTCTACGGAGAAACTGGTCGCTTTATAGGTGTTAGACACGCAACAAACAAAGTAGACGTTAGTGAGGCGCGAACCCGCGACAACCACAAGTGTTTAATGGCTAATTATCACGAAAGAAAGATACTTTATGAAATTATAAACAATTTTAAGATGAATCAGATTATAAGTAACGTCTAGAACCACACATATATGAGCAAATATTACTAAATTTCGATGTTAATTAACACCAAACATAAATTAAACGAAAAATAAAATATTAACAAAATATAATTTAATATAAAATGATAATTGAACTTTAAATTGATTAAATGTAAGATTTATAGCTGAAAAAATAAATAAAAGTGAATTAAATTTAATAAACAAACCTTGCGTAATGTCAAGATAACGAAAAAGAAAAACAAGTTGTAGTTGAAGGACGTTCATCATTCTTAAATGAACTTTATCCATAAACAAAAATCCGTTTAAATTTAAGTTTTAAACAGTGAAAAATGAGAAATTAACAAGAAAATTATTGCATTAAACAATCTTTATTACCTTTAAATTAATAACACAGAAAACTTAATATAATTTCATTATCAATTTTTAATGTTTTAAAAGTTATGTTTACAACTCATAACTATATAATTAAAAAAAGTAAGAGATTAAAGCGTTATGGACAGAAAATGTACTGAATAAAAGTATAATTTATTAATTCATTAACAGTATATAAATAATTAACACCTGTATAAATTATTAATTATTTAGGGGTATGAATTATTTCAGGGGTATAAATAGAAATCAAAAGGCATAAACTCGATGGCCATCTTGGTTACTTGCCTAACTAGTGTTTAATGAATACAGTCTACAACGCATGCGTGTTATCAGTAACTTATATACTTGACCGATATTCAAAAAACACACAGTATCTTCCTGGAGCCATGCAGAACGGACGAAAGAAGGTTGCTATTATAGGAGCGGGTGCAAGTGGACTAACCTCAATCAAAGCTTGCAAAGAAGAAGGGTTCGATATCGTTTGTTACGAAAAAACTAACGATATAGGAGGCCTCTGGAGGTATCGAGACGAAGATGTAGAAGGTTTAGCATCCGTGGCACGTTCTACTATCATTAACAGTAGCAAGGAGATCACGGCTTTCAGCGACTTTCCTCCACCCAAGCATTTCCCCAATTACATGCACAACTCCATGATGATCAAGTACTTGGAGCTATATGCTGAGAAATTCGAATTGGTCCAGTATATTAAATTTAGACACGAAGTGTCATCGGTAACACCCTCGAATGACTACGAATACACTGGAAGATGGAAGATACGAGTTAAGGATTTGTTAAATGGGGTGGAAATACAAGAGGTATTCGATGCAGTCATGGTTTGTAATGGTCATCACGTGTATCCGTTAAGACCCATTTTCCCGGGTGAAGATGAGTTCGAGGGGAGGATCATACACACTCATAGTTATAAAAAACCCAATGGTTACGATGATAAAAAGGTGCTGGTTATAGGTGTTGGGAATTCTGGAGGTGATGCCGCTGTGGAACTCAGTAGTGTCGCTAGTAAAGTAAGTATTGTTATTTAATTATCCTTGTTTTCTTATAATATTAGAAGACCTATTAATGTATTTAGGTACAGCTTGCTTGTAATTGCAACACTGATTACAATAAACGATAGTGGTGTATGATCGCGCAAACAGAGCATACATTAAAGCCTGAAAATACATACTTAACTGAATATTATGATAATTAAAACCGAAATTGTCATCATATTAAGCGTTATTTTTATATTAAATGTCTTGAAAACGTACTAATTCTGATAACATTAAACAACTTTAACAATAAATTTGTTATTTCAGAATATAGAAAAGTGGAAAATTCGAGTAAATATTCGTCCTAGAAATGGTTCATTAGTTTTATTAATAAATAATTTATAATATTGCGTAGTTCGTTCGTATGTTTATCCGATTAAAATTACGATAAAGTTTTTATAGATAATGTAAGAAACAAATCTTAAATTAAGGGAAGTTTATACAAAAATGAGGACATATTTTAAAATTTAATTCTATTTTAATAAGTTGAAATAATACGCTATTTTTAGGAGGGTGTAACGTAAGGAAAAATACAAAAATATACGTAAAACGGTGCATATCGTTCGAAATATTACCGTTTAAGTTTGAAAATAATAAATAATTTAATCATTTTTTTGTTTATTTTATGAAATGTAAGCCTTTGAGTCAGTTACGTTGTATTTATTCAACACTTCGTAACGAATTAAATTAATTTTTAACCTGTAAAGAAAGGACATTAACGAGAAATTATCTTGAAAGATTACTTTATATCAATGAGAAAACTTATAATTAATTTTATAATATTAAATAATAATTTTTTATATTAATGTTGATTTAGTCTACTTTCCTTCCTGATTAAATTAGTTTCATTTAATTATCATTATAAAATGACTAGATTTCATTATACCTTGACCTCGTTACATCCCTTTATAAAGAAATTATATTATAAAATAAATTTATATNCACGCTCCACTATTATTAACAGTAGCAAAGAGATCACGGCTTTCAGCGACTTTCCTCCACCCAAGCATTTTCCCAATTACATGCACAACTCCATGATGATCAAGTACTTGGAGCTGTACGCTCAGAAATTCGAATTGGTCCAGTATATTAAATTTAGACACGAAGTGTCATCGGTAACACCTTCGGATGATTACGAATCCACTGGAAGATGGAAGATACGAGTTAAGGATTTGTTAAATGGGGTGGAATTACAAGAGGTATTCGATGCAGTCATGGTTTGTAATGGTCATCACGCTTATCCTTTAAGACCTATTTTCCCGGGTGAAGACGAGTTCGAGGGGAGGATCATCCATACTCATAGTTATAAAAAATCAAATGGTTACGATGATAAGAAGGTGCTGGTTGTAGGTGTTGGGAATTCTGGAGGTGATGCCGCTGTGGAACTCAGTAGTGTCGCTAGTAAAGTAAGTACTGTTCTTTAATAATTCTCTAATTCATTGAAAATCTATAAAGATTAGAGTAGTTAAACTGTAGAAAAAGATCTCAAAAATATTAATATTATATATAGATTTTATATATATATATATTGATA